ATAGAGAAACGCGAGCGCACGCGAAGAAAATCGAGAGAGAGAGAGAGAGAGAGAGAGAGAGAGAGAGAGAGAGATCGGGCGTCGGTTGAACGCAGATAGAGGTGAGAGAGACAGCAATCAGGGTTAGAAACAGTAGGAGAACATTGGTTTTTAGAGCGAGATGTCCATTTATTTATATATCTATCTATCTATCTATCTATATATATATCTATCTATCTATCTATCTATCTATCTATCTATCTATCTATCTATCTATTTATCGATCTATATATATATACATGTATTTCTCGCGCGCTCTCTCTCTTTCTTTCTGATTAACCAAACTGAGAGACAGTTGAGTCTAACGTCTAACCAGTCCTTCCTCAGCCTGCCTGTCGTCGTCTAGATCATCCTGATACGCATAAGTCGTTATAGCATAAGCAGTTATAGCATACCAGATCATTTCGGATCACTGAGTGTGCACATTTCCGGATGACGAACGGATTCCCTAAGTTCAAGAATTCGCTCTTTATTTTACTCCTTAACATGTCTTGATTGTTTTTCGGAAATCAAAATTTAATAATAGCTATGTAGGAACCGCATATTATAGTTATTCCAACTATTTTTCGCTGCCTCTTTTATTTATCTTATTAATACTTTGCTTTTCTATTTTTCGGTTCTTTTAAAAAAAATTACACCATTTACGGTCCCACGTTAGTATGTTGTCGACAAAAGTCATATAATTTATTTGTATCTTTGACTGGCCTTTTAACGTGCATCATATCGGATAAGAGCTTGTAATTGAAGCTTGAAATTGAGATTTGCGACGTGATATGCATTAATTCATTAAAACAGTAACAATAATATCGTCATATATATATATATATATATATCAAAAGTAGATAATAAGGAAATAATAGGGGGTTTCTTATTATCTATACTTCTGATATATAATAATATATAAACAGGAGTAAGTAAAACATTTTTTTTATCCCCATTGATATTAATTATGAATTCACTGTGAATTGCCTATGTCTTAAATATGCTTGTGCGTGTTCACAGGATTGCTGCGTTGTGGGTGCGATTTCATTTCCCCGCCATATATTTGCATATTGAGAGCGGATTGATGAGAAGCTGTTACATGGCTTTCGCACAGCCCTGTGTTAATTAAGCATTGCGCGCAAACACCGCACAGCTGGCTCCGATGAATTCAGTTTATTGTAATGACGAATTCTCTCTTAATATAATTTAGAGAAAGTATCTCATCTGAATGTGCCACTGTTCAATATTATGACAGTTCGTGAATACTGTGGCACCGAAACACATAACGTACGCACGCACTCATACGCTAATGTGCACTGCACGCACTAACGCACGAACGCACGAACGCACGAACGCGCGAACGCACGCACTAACGCACGAACGCACGAACGCCCGCACGCACGCCAACGCACACAAACCACACACACACACACACACACACACACACACACACACACACACACACACACACACACACACACACACACACACACACACACACACACACACACACACACACACACACACACACACACACACACACACATCCATGCGCGGCATGACCATCTACTCACCGCCGGCTTGCCGCGTCGTTTCACCGTGTGATCTTGCAGCTCTCGCATCTTGTCGCGCACGGCATTCTTCTCCATTTCGCTTGCGAAGAACGGACACTGCAATAAACATCGAGGAGCGTGCTAACCAAAATTCATCATCTTTAATTCTCCCGTCACGAATGCAACTAGTTCGCCTTACACTTAAAAGTTGTTTTCACGTCAATACTCGTCGAACGCTGCTGTTTACCGATAAAAAAAGTGATAAACACTTTTGTGTGGGACGTCAGCCAGTATCACCAAGGCATCCAGTCTTGATTTTTTGTATTCAATTTCAAATCTGGTCTTTCTAAGCGCAGGGTTAGTGACGCACAGTAGCGTTACAAAATGAATATTATTGCTCAAAATATCGTTCTCGTAAGATATATGTTAGCGAGATATGAACAATTAGTTCATGGTCGGAAAATCCGCGAAGTGTTGCGACCAAGGTATACAGCAACATTCAGTATCGGGCTATCTAATGCTTGGAGTGTAGTAACGTAATAAAATAATAATTTAATCGACCAGGATTTCCTAACGATAATCGTCCCTATGAAAATAAAATTGGTTCTCATAACATTTCAGTAGTATTCAGAAAATCAGATGTCTTGGAGTTGTTCTGACTAGTAGTCACCGTTATTGCCGAATATTCACGCATATTAGCACTTTCTAGTTACTAGCTTCAATGCTGTGCTGTTGTGTATGTACCAAATGGGGGTTGGATTTTTAAAATCACTTGACACAATTGCATTAGTCAAACAGATTTGAATCGAATTGACTTAAATTTAGTTGACTTCTATATGCTTGTGCGCGTATGCTTTTCTACCAAACTTTTTACGAAGTCGAATGCTAATCTTACGCCCAACGACAGTCGATCACACGACACTCGTACGAACGTCCTGGAATGGTTTGATTCGCGGTGAAAACGACTATGGTTTCGATCTAGCCTGTGAGTGAGCTGACATGACGGCGAGTTATGTCGCGTTGCTCTGTCCTTACCTCGGATCCGGGAACTCTGCCATGTTCGGATGCGGGACCATTTCCGGATGGGGGACCCACCCTCTTAAAGCGAGAGTGCGCCAGTAGCGAGTCGTCCGCCTCCACAGCTTCGCTCTCGTAGCCCTGACAGGAAACGAACGGAGAAAAATTAATTATATGTGCATACACACGCGCGCACATACCCAGCTTATATATACATATATATGTATATATATATATATTGTTGATGACGTGATGTTTAGATCAATAGGCCTACCTCAGTCTCTTCCTCTGCCGATCGTTTAACGAGCAGTGGTAGAACGGGCGGATACACGACCTCCTGCCTGCTAGCTACATTGGGCATCATGTCAGGACTGCTGTAGCTCTTCAGTGGCGGCAGGTAGAATGGGTCGTACTCCGGTTCCGGTTCCAATGTCTGACCACCGCAGCAATCTTCGTTCGCTGCAATGACCAGTAAAAGCAGTACGACCACGCGAGCCATGATCAAAGAGCTGACCGTTAAGCGCTGCTGTTATCACTGTGGTCGTTTTTCGTTGTTGTTGATGCTGTTGTTGTTTTCGCTGCTCCTGTTGCCGCTGTCGTTGTTTTCGTTTATTGCCGCGAGTGTTGCCAAATCATCGTCACCGTTCTATTGAGCTGTCTAAGAAAAGAGGAACTGCGCATCGCGGCTTTATATGTCATCAGCGAAGAGATATTCGACGATACACAGCTGTTGCAGTAACCGCTAGGCCACGTGCACGCACCGGCTGCCCGTGCGCTGGGTTGCCGCCTCGGTGCAAGGCACAGATGTACCAACGTGCCACCGGCGGCGTCGTCGGTAAATGTCAGTCGGCGACGATGGTAGTCAGCGACGATAGCGCCACCGTCGGTCACGGTTTTATCTCTCGCGCGTTATCTCACCTCACGTAGCGCGACAAGGCAACACGCAGGCTCGGCGTCGACACGTGTGTTAACGGGGAACTACACCCACGATATTCTCGCCAGCGAAAATCTGATTGACGAGACGAGTTGATTTTAGAGCCTTCGTAGAAAAGGGTTTTAGGAGTATATGTTTAGAGCGTATGTTTGTGGACTATACGTGTGGAATGGGAGGAATTTGTACGGGATTGCGTCCATTTCGAAGCATGTGGACATCATCACGATAATAACAGGACGAATGTGTTACACAGCGTTGCCGCTCAGTGGAGATATGTTCCCTGCTTGCCATACGAAGTTACCAAGAGCAGTGACGTCAGCTGCATTGGCACTCTTGATACCATGTTTTGAAACTGCGGAGGAAACGGATTTAGATTTTATTCGAGTACAGATAGCGTTGCAAGATCTCTTTGCACTGCAATATTTAAACGTTCGTGTGAAGCGCAGAAGATGGTTATTTGCATCTTGCTCAGCCTTACTGTAAGGCTGAGCAACAGATTTCGCCCAAACGTATCACTAAACCAATATAGTTGAGCGCCAATTTGGTTAACAAAACGCATTCAACGGAAAATTATTTTAACTTTACAATGCGATAACTTATTATGGGAACACAATATGTCACGTATAGTTTTAGCAAAAACTGACGACTCCGCTTCTTATTTCGTTCTAAATCCAGCACACGAATTCGAGATATTCCATTACAGCAGAGTACTAGCAGCGAGATTAAACCTGATACAAGGACATTTTAAATCGCGCACGCAAGGATTATTCCAACATTCATACATTATACGATGGAATCACGATATAGTAACGTTTTCGTGAATTATGATATAAAACTGCTCTAACGTATTTAAGTGCTAATATGCTGTAGTTAAGGCTTATTTAATTTCTTTATTTGATATTTAGTTTCGTCGTATCACGTGTGCGTGTGCGTGTGTGTGTGTGTTTATGTGTGTGTGCGCGCGCGTGTGTTTCTGTGTGTTTGTGTGCGTGTGTGTGTGCGTGTGCGTGTGCGTGTGCGTGTGCGTGTGCGTATATGCGTGTGAGTGGGCACTATATAACAACCACCGGCATTTATCACCCGTAATGCAAAATGTAAGCTGTACGTGGAAATGTCTGCCAGCGTGCGCATGCTCAATTTTATTACATCAGTCTCGAATCATATAATCAATCAGAAAATCACCCGAGAATTATTAATTTAATCCGAGATCATAAATGATAGCAAAAGCGTGAGAACAGTGTCCCTACTATAGCCAGCCCAACATAGACCGCTTAAATAAGCTAATTTCTAAGACCTACCATTGAAAGATTTATAATATCTATAAGTACTCAACGATAGAAATGTTATCATTGGGCATTCTATTCACTTATCACGGATATATCTCTTATCCGATATCCCTTATATTGTACACACCATGTGTCTGCGTGTGCAAGTGCGTGTGCGTGCGCGCGCTCTTGCGTGCATGTTTACAGTTATATGCTATATATTGTTGCCAAAAATTACTGCACTGTAACTCGTTCATAGCATTTCACATGCCATTAAATAAAAGAACCAATATTGCCAACTGAAACCCAAGGTTGCTTGGTCAGCGGGGCTGCCACCCGGCCTAAACACTGTTCCTGATGGCCGCCGCGATGTGCGACCAAAGTTGGGTTGAACCAGTGTAAAAGACAGTAGATCAGATCTGGTAAAACGAAATAATAGTAGCACCAAGAATGTGACCAAAAACATGCGCCTATACTACGATAATCCTTGAATGTATTGTAAGTAGAATTGTATGTATTTATGCTAATATTGCATGTTACAAATTTAGTCTATTATATAGGGTAAGATTAATTTTTGAAGTCCCTAAATCTCCGTGTTTACCGAGGAACCTTGCCGGCTTGATGACTTATCGACTCGTTGTGAAGTATCTATAGAACAAGGGAGAACGCGATAAAGTTATATATAGATAGTTATATAGATAGTTAGTTAGTTAGATAGATAGATAGATAGCTAGATAGATAGATAGATAGATAGATATATAAATAAATAGATAGATAAATAAATAAGATAGATAGATAGATAGATAGATAGATAGATAGATA